CAGTATCCCCAAGTCCTTCCTCGGCAAGGTGCTCTCAATCCCTTAATCCCCCAGCCTGTATTGATACTGGGGTTTGCCCTGACCCAGGCGCAGGACCTTGCACTTGGCCTTGTTAAACCTCATGAGGTTCACACGGGCCCATAATTGTCAAAAGGAGGTTTGTTGCTGATGTATTGAATTTACTTGGTTTATATGTCTTGGAGATAATTTAACAGTAGCTTTTGTGATTCACAGTTTGGGGTTATTTTTCTCAATATGGCTAAAAGCTTATATGTAAAAGCAGATTTTGATGCCTGTGCCTTACTTTTCCAGATTTATTCACTGTACTGATGATTCCCCTGATCCTTCCTTGGGCTACGAGGTAAGACTGCGTGATTTCTAGGTAATTTAAATGAATTGGTCACAGGCAGGCTGCCATTTGTGCTTGGGTATGTGCCCATAAAATTTTTTTTGTTTGTTTTAATTGTGTTGCTTGGGCAGTGTGAGGAAGCCTGGTTAAGTGCTACAGGTCATAAGAAGTTCATTTAATTACAGATCAGAGATGAGCTCAAGTTCAGACATTTGAAGCCTCCTTGCAGTTTCCTCTCATGTCTGCCAGGTTTTGCCAGGAAGGACAAGTTCAATAGCTGAAAGTCATATATTCTTGATAGTATGCTGCTTGTGAATATCACAACTAAGGTTACTAAGAGAAGCTAGCTGTAGTGGCTGGGGACATCCTGAACTGAAGTAGTCCATCGTATCTTGTTTCATGTGCTCATTACCAGATTAAAATGTTAAGTTAGCAATGTAGATATTAACAATGCTTTAAACTGTTCATGTGGTGCTATTGCTTTTATGATAGCATCTAGTCATGTCTCTAATAATAATTTTTATGTAAATACAGCATTTGTCATCATCCTGTGGGCTTAAAGGACTTTAGAAAAGTGAATGATCCCTGTTGTTTGTTTGTTTTTTTTTAAAGGATTATCTTAATGTGCTTTAAAAATACAGGACATCTGAAAGTTGGAACAAAGAGTTTCATGTTTACACTGTAGTTAGGAGCGTCACCTTTGATTACTGAGGTTTTTCTACTGTGGTTGATAGGTGTTGGGAGTTTCCAGTACCCATGAGCAGTAATTGAGGCCCTCAAAATAATGGATCCATCTGAATACTTCAGCTTAGGAAATGCAGAAACTTGAGAAAGTGCCAGAGAGATGCTTTAATTACCAGGCAGTCTGTCCTATTGACTCTAATAGTTTGGTTACTATTTCTATCCCGTGTCCTTATTTTAACTGGTTTGCGCCTTCAAAGGCGTCACAGAAATCTGCTTGGGTGTATACCAGAATAGAGGTTGATTTGGTTAAATTTAATTCTGCTCATCAGCTCTTTTCACTAGGGAGCAACTTTCTGCCAATTCCATACCAGATTTGTTGTATAGTACAGCAGAGTTTTTTTGTTTTCCATGCTTTATCATTAATGTAACTTTGAAGTTGTTTCATAAATAATTTCAGTTATAAATGCCATACAAAGTGAAAGAACATAAGGTAATTAAGGTGGGAAGGGGCCTCAGGAGGTCTCTAGTCCATTCTCATGTTCAAAGCCAGGTAAGCGATGAGATCAAATCTCATCGCTTGGCATTTTATCAAATCTGGTCTGAAAACCTCAGTGGATGGAGGCTGCGCAACCTCTATGATGTTGCAATGCTTGACAGTCCTCATGGTGAAAATTTCTTCTTATGTTCAGTCTGAACCTTTCTACTTTATAAACGAGTTTGGACTAGATGATCTTTAAAGGTGCCTTCCAACCAAAAGCGTTCTGTGATTCTATGAAATTAATATTAAGTCTAATTGCTTTGAAGTATTTACTAAGATAATTATGTGAACTGCAGGTTAAGATTGTTTTGTTTTCTTGTATCAGGAATACCTTCAGAGGCCATCTTATCATTAGAGCCAAACTGTAGGTCTAGAAGGTATACCCATTGACAAAAAGTTACCTATTACCTTTCTGAAACAATACTTTATTATTTGTTTTTCCTCTATAGCTTGTTCTTCGCAAATGGTGTGAACTAATCCCTGGCGCAGAATTCAGATGCTTTGTCAAGGAAAACAAGCTTATAGGTAAGGATTTTCGTAAAGATAAAGTTATTAGGTGAAGTTCTGAGGAGTTTGTCTGATTCCTTGAATCAGCACTAAATATGAAGACAGTTCTTTCTTAACACACCTCATTTCTGGAATTGATGTTTTCTTTTTCTTTCTGTAATTTAAAATGTGGCATACCACGTTTCTCTTTCCAATGTATTTGAAAGCCTGATGACATAGCATGCTCGATATTACAGTGGGAATATTCTTAATTCTAATTGCTAATTCAGAAACTTCACCCAAAGGCTGTTTTGTAAGTGATTCTTTTATATTCAGGAATGAATTGCATCATCTCCAACTTGCAGAATGAGTACAGAGGCAGTTGGGTATTATGCTGATAAAACGTGACCACATGTGGATATTATATGCAGAAAGCTGAGGAGGTCAGAACATGTCCACAGGTGTACGAGGTGTCTGAGTTCATATTATATTCAGTGTAGCTTAGTCAGAAAACCTGTTGATCAGTTACTCTGGTTCAAAATCCTAAATGTAAAACATTTCAAGTGGCACTGAACAGCTAGGGTATCCACAGCATGCAAAGAGCTGGTGGGTGCATTCAAAGACCTGTGACAGTTGGAGGACAGGCAGATTGTGCTAGAGCATGTATTTTGCGCAGCTCTAGGGTAAATTTAGCTGAATTATATTCCTCTGGATGTATTGACTATCTTCTGCTGACTATAACAGGAGCTTAGACATCTAGTGCACGTACAGGTGCTTGAATTGAGGGGTTTAATTTCAGGCTAAATACTATTCTGGAGTTTGAATTAATTTTTGCTGTGGTCTACCATAGAATCTTTAAAGATGAACAGAAATGTAAGCAGCACAGGGCTGGTGCACATTTGTCCTTAACAAGATTGAGTCATTCTGCCTAAACTCTTCTAACAAGGAAATGTTATAGCAGTGATGTAGCAAAACTCTAATCCAGACTTCATAGGAAGGAAGGTGATTTTTTGCTTTATAATAAAACCAAGTTTGCTCATTTTGTCTGTCTCGTACCTACATATTCACAAGCACCAAGATGCACGTATACAAGTGGTCTGTCCAGGATTCCTTGCGATGATAGGGAAGTGAAGAGATATTAGCTATCTAGTCTTCATTGTTTCTCCTGGCTTCTTCTCAGCATGGTGACTATGTGCTTGTTTTGGATGTGCCTTTTTGTATCTGTTAGGAGCTGTCAGCAGTTTGTCTCTCCATCCTGTCCCACCTCTGTGAATCGTCAGGAACGTACTCATGTTCTTTGTTTCCCGGTCTGGGTATCCTATGGAGCTCCATGTAGATGTTTCGGGATGTGCTAATCTAGGTGCTGTCAACATACACCATTCTCATAGCCCTTTTATTTGGCTGTTCCTTCTGGTGCTTCTACACTCATCTTCCCATTCTCTCTCCGTTTATGCCAGTTGCAGGGTTTATTACAGTTCTCTGTAACACAGTTTATCTTGCTAATAGCAGAGATTCTCCATTAAGCCGGTATTGCTTAATGACTACTGACATAGCTTTTTAAAGGGGGAAGAGCTGAATCCTGTCCTGTTATGTGCTGCTGGAACACCACAACTGCCAGATATATGCATCACTGTAACAACCTCTAAAACATTTGAATGTAGATTTATTATAGAATATCTATAGTGATATTTACGTTCAAATACCTCAAAGCATTTGTATGCTGGCTAATTAAACGCTCTATGTTTCATTACTAGGTTTTGAAACCTAGTAGATCTACCAGTATGGGGTTTTTTTAGCTAGCACTCCAGCTGCATTTCTGAAGACAGTTCCAAGATTTTTCACAGTATGTTCCCATGCTCTTAAAATTAATAAGCCTGTCAGTCAAGCTAAGGAGTGATATTGCACAGTGTAGTGAATGATTTTCCAGTTACACATCTGCATCCCCTGAGATGCCACCATCTCTTGGTTTTTGTTTTTAGACCTGAGTTAAGCTTTGCAGTGGTATGAATAATTCAAAGTTCCACTGACATCATAAACTTTATATGAACTTTTTTTAAGAGCACATCTTTGGAGGTAGTCAGCATTGTCTTATAGTAAAACTTAATCTCTGCATTTTGTATATGGTTAAAATAGCAAACTACCATCATTGATACATCTTGGGGGATTCTGGCTTTTTCTTCCGTTAAATAGCATGAGTTACTCATTCTGCATTGATGGGGCAGGTCTTGATTTGACATTTGTCCAGCAGGGTGTTGCAGTGACTTATGTTGACGTATCCTGTATGAGAACTTCTGTCACTTAAGATGCATGCAAGCATATAATCCTTTTGATGTCAGCTTAAACTATTGTCTTGTAGACAAACAAATATCTGAAATTAAGAGCTTGTGATGTAGCTGGAATAGTTTATTTAACGTCAGATATGCAAGACAGCCCTCGCGGGGGGCAAATGGAAGAAATAAGGTACTAGACTGCATGCCATCTTGTTGATTTTAGGATTTAAGGTTTCACCTGTAGTGTCTTATCAAACAGCTAAGCTTTATCCCACGCCTAAAAAAATCGGTTAAATGAGAATCTTTATGGTATGCTAGGATCTATCGTCTTTGCTAATGTGTAAGCCTGGCCTCTACCCCTTCCATTTCACGGTTCCAAATTCTGGTCCCTATATTTGATGTGCAGAACAGAAAAGGTCTTTGACCAGAGTAACCAGGGGGAATAAAACTGGAAGGAAAAGACAGGAACTGAATACTTAAATGCAGGCAAAGGTTCGTCCTGAAATTCACTTTAAAATAGTCAAAGAGTGTACATATGAAGTGAGGTTCACAAAATGTAGGGCAGAACTGTTAAAGGAAAAAATTCCTAATGGAAGTGCTTTAAGTATTGGAGAATAAAGTCAAACAGTAAGTAATTCTTAATGGTTGAAACGTGAGAGAACCCCGTCTTCTGAAATATAAATTATAACATGTGTGTCTCTGATAACTGCATTTTGTCTGGTTGGTTTTTTGCATGCCTAAAGCTTTTTATAATCAACTAAAATTATTGACAGGTATATCGCAGAGGGACTACACTCAATACTACGATCATATCTCTAAGCAACATGAGGAGATCTGTAGATCAATACAGGAGTTTTTCAAGAAACACATACAGTATAAATTCTTGGATGAAGATTGTAAGTATGTTAAGACTTCAATTAGCAAGGGGAGCATGGGGGAGGGAAGGAGGATGTTTATGAAGGTTTTTAAATACTTACTGCATACATAGTTACAAAGACTTAAGAACAGAAATGAAGGGTCTACCTCTTTGAAGTTCTTTTGCAGGGTACTGGGAGGTTTGAAATTGAAAGGGCTTGTAGGGCAAACTCCACAGAAATGAGACCTGTCCTCCTGCCCCCTTGCTGTTGCTGAGCCAGGCTCATTTCCTCCACAGTGCACCAAGTTGCAATGTGCTAAATTCCAGTTTGCTGCTGGAGATGAGTGGAAAAACGGGTACTTCTCAATAAATAGTGGCATCCCCAATATTTTAAGTCTGTGGATATGCATCTCTCTCTTCATAGCTATTGCTTTCACAGGGCTTGGTTCTTTTTAACTTGGGAGAGTCTTATAGCTCTTGTGGCTAGAGCATGCAGAGCAGTGTAGTTTTTGAGTGACTGTAAAATTGGGAACAAAAAAACCCTGAAGGAGTAGGCTGGAGCTTTTCAGGAAAACACAACAAATGAGTAAAAGATCCCTTCAGAATGCATAATGATTTTCTTTTTTTTTTGGAAGGCTTTTTCCCCTTATACTTGTTTTTAATTAAGAAAAATTCTAAACCTGAGAAGTGAAGTAGGAAATGCTTAACAAAAGATATTCAGTAGTAAGAAGAATACTGGTTTATAAAGATGTTGTCAGATGTTTGCTGCTAAATTATTGATGTATTCCTTGAAGAAAGGATTTGTAAGTTTCTTTTCAGTAAGTTTGTCCTGGTTTCAGCTGGGATAGAGTTAATTTTCTTCCTAGTAGCTGGTACAGTGCTGTGTTTTGGATTTAGTATGAGAATAATGTGATAACACACCGATGTTTTAGTTATTGCTGAGCAGTGCTTACACTAGTCAAGGACTTTTCAGCTTCTCATGCCCTGCCAGCGAGAGGCTGGGAGGGGGCACAGCCAGGACAGCTGACCCAAACTGGCCAAAGGGACATTCCATACCATGGGACGTCATGCTCAGTGCATAAACTGGGGGAAAGCTGGCCGGGGCGGGGGGTGGGTGCTGCTCAGGGTCTGGCTGGGCATCGGTCGGTGGGTGGTGAGCAATTGCACTGTGCATCACTTGTTTTGTATATTCTTTTATCATTATTATTTTCCCTTCCTTTTCTGTCCTATTAAATTGTCTTTATCTCAACCCACAAATATTACTTTTTTTTTTTTTTTCTCCGATTCTCTTGCCCATCCCACTGGGGGGTGGGCAGTGAGCGAATGGCTGGGTGGTGTTTAGCTGCCTT